TTGCCGATGCTGCCACCCATGTCCACAAAAAAACGGCCATTTTTTCGTGGATTTTCCAGCATGACCGATAAAAATAAATGAGGAGATCCGCGAAAAAACGGCCGACAGGCTGGCCCCACTAACGGGTGTGATTATGTTTCGTGCGGATGAAAATTCGGCCGATAAACAACCCGTCTATGGCCTGCATAACAAAAGACAGAGGCTGTCTGGGAGTGGGAGTGGTCATAGAGGAGATCTGCAGCTTTGCCAGTGTCCAATCACCTGAAGATGGCTACCTGTAACTTGTAGGTATGACTAAAGATCCCATGTACTGTACAATTAAGAAATAGTGCAGAATGCTTTGACAAGTGTCGAAGTCTACCACTGTGCATCAATTGTGAATTATAACTTCACCTGCATCTTGTGAAGCAGTGCTACTGAATTTACCATGCACTGAACAATTCACAAATAATTAATAAGTAAAATGAAAGCTTTAAAATAAAAAAACAAGGGGATATAAAATTTGTTTTGCATGAAAATGACAAACACATTCTTCGTTTCTTTTGCATTGGAAAAAAAAAAAAGATAAAAACCAAATATGGACCAGTAACCCCCTCGCCCCCCCCCCCCCCCCCCCCCCCCCCCCCCGCAAATTATACAGGCAGTTAAGATCCAAACTAAATGCCCTGAATTCAACTCAGATTCAGGGACAACACCAGTTACAATCAAGAGAAGAAATCAAATAAGAAACAACTCCTATGTGTTTGTATGTTTTTCTTGGTTTAGGACATATAATAAAAAAAAGGAGACATATCTAAGTGAACTAAATACACTACATGGATTTTGCAGGTTTATTTTTTGCAGATTCATACCATTCTGTTCTACAGCAACTACTCTTTGCCTTACCATGACCATTCTCAAACAATTTGCTCAAATAGAAGTATCTACCTTTATTGTAATTATCCAACCAATCTCAGTGCTGTAATAAAAAGCTGCATCATATGTGTAATAGGTCAGATTTTAAAAACCATCCCCTGCAGTAAGGTTACCCCTGCACTGCTAGCGTTAAATTATAAAAGTATGTATATAATGTTAATACAATGTACCGTATATACTCGAGTATAAGCCGACCCGAATATAAGCCGAGGTACCTAATTTTACCACAAAAAACTGGGAAAAAACTATTGACTCGAATATAAGCCGAGGGTGGGAACACCAGTGGGAAGAATCGTGCCTCATCATTGGTGTCAGTGGGAGGAATAGTGCCCCATCATTGGTGTCAGTGGGAGGAATAGTGCCCCATCATTGGTATCAGGGGGAGGAATAGTGCCCCATCATTGGTGTCAGTGGGAGGAATAGTGCCCCATCATTGGTGTCAGTGGGAGGAATAGTGCCCCATCATTGGTGTCAGTGGGAGGAATAGTGCCCCATCATTGGTGTCAGTGTGAGGAATAGTGCCCCATCATTGGTATCAGTGGGAGGAATAGTGCCCCATCATTGGTATCAGTGGGAGGAATAGTGCCCCATCATTGGTGTCAGTGGGAGGAATAGTGCCCCATCATTGGTGTCAGTGGGAGGAATAGTGCCCCATCATTGGTGTCAGTGGGAGGAATAGTGCCCCATCATTGGTATCAGTGGGAGGAATAGTGCCCCATCATTGGTGTCAGTGGGAGGAATAGCGCCCCATCATTGGTGTCAGTGGGAGGAATAGTGCCCCATCATTGGTATCAGTGGCAGGAATAGTGCCCCATCATTAGTATCAGTGGGGGGAATAGCACCCCATTATTGGTGTCAGTGGAATAGTGCCCCATCTTTGGTGTCAGTGGGAGGAATAGTGTCCCATCATTGGTGTCAGTGGGAGGAATAGTGTCCCAACATTGGTGTCAGTGGGAGGAATAGTATCCCATCATTGGTGTCAGTGGGGGGGGTGGAGGAATAGTGCCCCATCGTTGGTGTCAGTGGGGGGGAGGAAAAGTGCCCCATCGTTGGTGTCAGTGGGGGGGAGGAATAGTATCCCATGATTGGTGTCAGTGGGGGGTGGAATAGTGCTCCGTGATTGGTGTCAGTGGGGGGTGGAATAGTGCCCCATCATTGGTGTCAGGGGGGGGGGGGGGAGGAATAATCAATTTGCAATAAATATTGTATGAACAGGTCTTTTTATCCAATGCAGTAGTTACCATATTCATTGCCTATATATGCAAGAGAGATTATATAAGTTATACTGTAAGGCCATCTCATGTACTCCCTTGTACTGTCACATTGAACTTGGGGAAGACGGCTGTCAGATCCACAGCACTTCCAGGCCTCTATGGATATAAGGCTGCATTCACAATTGCTTGAAGTTCAAAGCTCCAAAAACACTCAAACTTAGAAAAAATCAATTGTTCTCTATGGCATCTGTTCGTGCGATCAGGTGAGAACAGGCACCATAGGGAACAATTCATTTTTTAAGTTTGAGCGTTTTTTGGAGCTACAAATCGTTCAAGTGTGAATGCAGCCTAAAGGTTGCAAGTGTCCTAGACCCCAGCACTGTGGTTATGTGTCCACTCACTTTCTTTCTTACCCTTCACAAAATACGTAGCCCCATGCTCCTTTTTGTGAATTGTGGGGAGAGAAGGGTAGAGACACATTAGACCTGCAGCCCTTGCATTCGGAGCATCCAGAAATTAGTGGGAGCTGTATTAATCTTAGCATGTAAACTAACCAAGTTGCCTGACATAGAAGTATGCCTGCATGACAGTGATTGGACAAGGAATGTTTGGCTTTAAGCCTGTTCAAGTAGTAATGAAGAACGGTTTAGTTACCTGTAGAATCAAAAATGTATTCTATTATAATTATAGGGATAATTGCTATAAATCACAAAAAAAAGGACTCTTCCTTCAGTTAATTTGCGTCAACTTTATGTCAAGGCAGCCCATTCATCTTGGCTGGGCTACCAATTCAGAGAAAAAAAAAATTAAGTAAAAGCAACGATGCAGTGCTCCACAACATGTCACAACACACTAACAATCATAACAAGCCTTAATTTAAAGTGATTCTAAAAAGGTACGTAAAAAAAAAAAAAAAAAAAGCTTGTTATACGTACCTGTTCAGTGCAATGGATACTCCTCTCCTCCTCTTCCCAGGTCCCCTGTCAGTGTTCCTGGAACCTCCCCTCTGCCGATTCCCCTCATAGCAAGCCATCTGCTATGGGGGCATTTGTGCAAGGTTGATCCTGTGCCAGGCTCTATGTGTCCATTGACACACAAAACGTGACTCTGCCCCGCCCCCCACCCACTCTTCACTGCCTGTTATTGACAGAAGCAGAAGCCAATTGCTCCCACTGCTGCCTCCCTGTCCAGTAAGCAGAGAGAGAAAGATTGCCACTGCTTTCATGCACATCGCTGGGTGGGGGTCGGGGATGGGGCCTTTTCCCAATGCAAGGACCCAGTCTGAGTGGGACCAGACAGCAAAAAAGTTGCTAGGCTAGCTTTACTTCTGAGCAGGTACGGGACTGTGTGTGTAAATTGTATGGATTCATGCACCCACAGCACAGACATACAATAACTCTTAATGGCACCCCCACGCACTGGAAACTGCAGCAAGTTTTCCTATGCTAGGAACTACATATCACTGTTTCCCTTTTGCTGCAATTCTGGAAAAGGTGCGGACACCTTTTCCTTGTGTTTTCTGTAGGTATGGCAGCCTAGTCAAATGAATTGGCTGCTATGCCCACAAAACGCAGCCGCAAGGAAAACCAGCATAGTATCAACCTAGTTTTAATCTATATGTTTAAACAAATTAATTTTGTCCTGACCAGCTAGGAGCTTGTGTATTGTTTAATTGTAGTGCCATGCGCATCTTTCCTTTGCCAGTTATAAATTATACATACTTTAGATTGTACGCCCCTTGAGGGTTAGGGACTGATGTGAATGTACAATATATATATGTAAAGCGCTGCGTAAATCGACGACGCTATATAAGTACCTGAAATAAATAAATATAAATACTGTATATAGTCACACACACACACACACACACACACACGGTATACAAGTTCACTCAGACAGCAAAGAATTTCTAGGTGCTTCATTCTGCATGGTTGCTAATCACACAGCTTTGAGGGAGCATCTGCAGATTAGTGTATGAAATACAATCATGAACACATAGGCATGTAAAAATACTAAAGTCAAATAAAATATTGCTTGCGACTTATAATAACACAGTATTCAACTACTGAGATCACTATAGGTGCATTTCCTTTTTTAATCCAGTTCAAATTACACTCTAAATTAAAAAAAAAGCTCATTTAAAAATGGTGTGCCTTATAAGCACATTAGCTTTGCAGGACTTTACTGGAGGGCCATTCAGAGAGGGAGCCCTCTCAGTAGTGAGGCACATAAATGCCCTCCTAGGTCTTTATTGGGGACACCAGAATTAAAAAAACAAAACAAAAAAAACCCCACACAAACTGAAGAAAGCAGAAAAAAAAAACAAAAAAAAAAAAAAATCACACAATTCTGTGCAATGTCTTCTGTAATAGTGAACTGAGGTAAGTGGCCTGATACCCCTCAAAAACTGAGGTTCTCAGAACACAGGATATATTAGTTAGCTTGTAAAGATTAAAATTAGCGAGATTGCTACAATAATTTTGATAGTATATGTTCTGGGCTTGTCCTTGCATTAGTACTTAGTGAGCCTTTAACCAGCGAAAACAAGAACCATTTGCATATCAGGTGCCCTAACATCTGATACACACGCATATTTCCAGGTCAGTAACTTGCTAAGCAGAGAAACAAGAATGAGCAGCTCCAGAGCATGTTCATCATAATCTTGTCTGCAATGGCAGCTTCTAGATTTTCATTTTGACAAGTTGCTTTTAAACTTTACCCTAGATTGTAAGCTCCTTGAAGGCAGGGACTGATGTGAATGTACAATATACAATATATTGTCAACAGTATTGGGACACCCCTCCAAATCATTGGATTCAGGTGTTCCAATCACCTCCATGGCCGCAGGTGTATAAACTCAAGCACCTAGGCATGCAGACTGCTTCTACAAACATTTGTGAAAGAATGGATCGCTTTCAGCTCAGTGAATACAAACGTGGTACTGTGATAGGTTGCCACCTGGGCAATAAGTCCATCCGTAAAATTTCCTTGCTACTAAATATTCCACAGTCAACTGTTCGTGGTATTATAACAAAGTCGAAGCAACTGGGAACAACAGCAACTCAGCCACAAAGTGGTAAGCCACGTAAAATGACAGAGCAGAGTCAGCACATGCTGAAGCGCACAGTATGCAGAAGTCGCCAACTGTCTGCAGAGTCAATAGATAAAGACATCCAAACATCATGTGACCTTTGGATTAGCACAACACTGCGTAGAGAGCTTCATGGAATGGGTTTCCATGGCCGAGCAGCTACATCTAAGCCTTACATCACCAAGTGCAATGCAAAGCATCAGATGCAGTGGTGTAAAGCATGCTGCCACTGGACTCTAGAACAGTGGCGACGCGTTCTCTGGAGTGACGAATCACGCTTCTGTCTGGCAATCCAAAGGACATGCCTGGGTTTGGCGGGTGGCCAGAACGGTACTTGACTGACTGCATTATGCCAAGTGTAAAGTTTGGTGGAGGGGGGATTATGGTGTGGGGTTGTTTTCCAGGGGTTGGGTTTGGCCCCTTAGTTCCAGTGAAAGGAACTCTTAAGGCGTCAGCATACCAAGACAGTTTAGACAATTTCATGCTCCCAACTTTGTGGAAACAGTTTGGGGATGGCCCCCTTCTATTTCAACATGACTGCGCACCAGTGCACAAAGTAAAGTCCATAAAGACATGGATGAGCAAATTTTGGGTGGAGGAACTTGACTGGCCTACAGAGTCCTGACCTCAACCAAATAGGACACCTTTGGGATGAATTAGATTGGAGACTGCAAGCCAGGCCTTCTCGTCAGACTTCAGTGCCTGACATCACATATACGCTTCTGGAAGAGTGGTCAAACATTCCCATAGACACACTCCTACACCTTGAGGGCAGCCATCCCAGAACAGTTGAAGCTATTATAGTTGCAAAGGGTGGGCCAACTCAATTTTGAACCCTACGTACTACTGACCCATTCAGTTCATATGTGTGTAAAGACAGGCATCCAAATACTTTTGGCAATATAGTGTATATGTTAAAGTGCTGTGTAAATTGGTCGGCACTATATAAAAGTACCAGTAATATATAAAAAAAGCTTTGGATGGCCAACTGCACTATAGTCAGCATGTGGGGAAAATACAGTTCACCCTTGTTATGCCGTGTTTCCTCTATGCATTTTAAGGTTTTATTTTAAATGGCACACGTTTAAGCTGTCCATACACCCACAGACTTTTGTACGAAAAATGTTTTCAGAATGTTTGTTTGATATTTAACAGTTAGTGGGGCCAAATAAACATCTATTTTTGATTTTAGTGAGGGTTTGAAGGGCAGCATGGATAATTTGCATGAACAAAATTCGAACTGACTGTGGTTATCATTCAGGAAAAATATATTTTGTGCTGAAGTCTGTTTAATATGTCTGTAATTACATTCAAATCACACGTATGGATGAAGTTTTAAGGCAGGGGTGTCAAACTAGTTCACAGGGGACCGCATCATATTATGGTTGCCTTCAAGGGACCAGTTGTATTTGTAAGAATAGGTGTCTAGAGCTCCCCACTCCCCCTTACAACACATGTCAAGAGCCCCTCCACCATCAGAAGTCAAGAATTCCCCCGCTCTCCTTTTACATCACAGTACGCCCCCCTTACCTTGTGCTGAATAAGCTGGGGAAGAGCTGGGAGGCAGAAAGTGTAGGATCTGAAGGAGGACCAGAGGAGGGCTGGAGTCAGCTGTCAGAGTCTGCCTTAAGAGACCAGGGGAGACAGAGATGAAGGGGTACTGTGGTTCCACAGAATCTAAAAGGGGAGTTCTGTTCTCTCCACCGCTAACTGTTGAGACGGGGAGGGGGGGGAATGGGGATGACCCTCCGCTGCAGCCCCATAGAGAAGTGCAGGATCTGGTTGTACCTCCTCTCTGCTGCCAACTGCTGAGACAAGGGGGGGGGGGGGGGGGCAGAGATGGGAAGAAGGGTTGCCAGAGCTGCAGGGGAGGTGTGAGGGCCACATAAAAATGGCCTGGCAGGCCGGATTTGGCTCGTGGGCCTTGCGAGACACATATGCTTTAAAGGCTTTTGAATTAAATTAGTTGACTCAGTCGTAGCAAGAAAGAATGTCCTAAGCATGTTCTGAATAAAAATTAAATTATTTAGTACAAGGTACATAGAAACTCTTAAAAAAATAAAATAAAAAGGGAAAAGCTTTGGTGTCAAAACTGGGGCATACGGAAAACAATCCATTTACCAAAATAATCAAAAATGGCCATGTTAGTTGTGAAAGTTTAGGATGCCATCTTCTAGGAAAAACTAAAGTTAGACAGTATCCCCTCTACATTACCAAATGGCTCCATAACCTGAGCCTGCAGTTACTACTTTGAAAAACAAAACTAATATATGCAAGGAATTGGTAACTGGCTATTTTCTCTTTGACAGCAAGAGTGCACTAAGCAGCATCTAGGAAAAAAAATAGAATGCCAATGTGATTTTAAAAAAAGAAGAATGTAAAAATAGAATAGTTAAAATGCAGATAATACCTGAGTGACAATGTTATTATGCAGGATTTATATAATGCCAACAGTTTGCACTGAACATTATATAACCATATCAAGGTATTCACCAACAATCAAAACTCAGAAGTGTTTTAGGTATCAGAAAAAGGTAGAATAATAATCCAGAAGTAGATATCTTTGGAAGGGGTTTCCTCTTTTGTACTTTAGACTGTGAATCAGTGAAGTCTTGTGTTTAATGTAACCCATTCTACATGCCTCTTAGCATTGTGTACCGTGGCACTTGTAAGTTGAGGAAGTTAAAAATGACAGGCAAAAGTTGAGCTCCATAGGGGGCCTGTTTAGTTGGGATGCAGTAGGCCCTGCCTACACCTAAGAACTGAAAAAAGGCAGCCTCTGGAAATCATTCTTTGACTTCAGTAAAAGCGGTTAGGTCTCTGTACTCAATGCCCTATGAAACACATGTTGCAGATATCTTGATTTTTGCCATTTTTGGACCTTTCCTCTGGGATCCTGAACTGCATATGTGGGAAATTGATCTCAGCTGGGTTTAAAGCATCAGAATCTAAGAAGACCCTTACAAGCACACAATTCCTGGTTCCACAATCCATGCTTTGCTACGGCGACTGCCAAACTGTGTTTGGCAGATTGGACAGAATAAAGAAGTTTTGTAGTCCAGCTTTATAAAAAGGTTCCTAGGAACCCAGCAAAGATGTTCAAAGCCACCGTGGGCAAATGACTAAAGTAAGCTTTTAAACTAAGCCCATCAGATTCCAGGTTTTATTGCCAAAGCTTAAATCGAACAAGCTAGAATTAGAAGCCAACTGGCTACCATGCATAGCTGCATCAGATTCTAAGTGCTCCAGCTTTAGTAAATCTCCCCCTTTGTGTCACTGACCTGCAACAAATGTGCAAATTAGAAAGTCAGAAGGAAGTCAAAATGCCTGATCTGCATACATGTTCCAAATCAGAGAACCTAAAACTACTGTCACCTAGGTAATACTCGGGGGTGGTCTATAATGGTAGCTTCCATATCTCACAACAGCTTAGAGGTGAGGATTTAACACTGCCCCACTACACAGTGAAAAAATTATCTGCTTCTGCTAACTCCGAGTACATCGTACACAAGCCGTGCATATGGTGTTTATGCAACAGGATATCAGTGTATGATCATGCCAATACATACAAAATATAATAGATCTATATATGAATAGAAATGTTGATTCAAACCATCTCCCTTTTCTATAGAGGCCTTTGGGTACATTTTCACAAATTTTTGCAATTATTTTAACAGATGAAAATTAGCATACATATTTTAGTAAATTTTATTATAATTTTTATTATTAGTATTATTTTACCTCTGGCTTGCGCTGAAAATTTACACCACCCTACCACAGATGTAATCCCCTATTTGAAATGGATAGCCATAATAGAAGTAGTTTTTCACAAGGTGCCTTATTTTATTTCGGTGCATTCACAAAACAATAAATAATCAATTGGGTGAAGTGTTAAAATAATTTATTTTGCAATATCTAATTTTTAATGCACAGCATTTTTGTACCCATTTTCATTATTATTCTAATATGTAACCAGATCACTGGCTGGCAGAACAGACTTACAAAATTATGTCAGATAAGCATGTATTTTATAAATAGGAGAAACATGGATACTGCCACTGCTGACCTCATGAAAATTGTAATTTCCTAGAGGTTTTCTTGACACTGGCTTTAACACAATTTATCCACCAACTTGAAAGAGCGCAGATCACAAAAGTCAGAAGCTTTATATGCATACTTCTTCTGGGTCAATCACTGAAGCATGAGGGTCAGCATGACAACCTGGCAGATAGTATTTTCTTTAAATAGTCCTAAGGGTGCAGAGAAGAATAGGTAAATACCTGCTACAGCAGGTGAACATGTGTGGGGGTGCACAGAGTGCTCAATCGTGTATAACATATTACTCTTTATATCTTCATTTTAGGATGTTACAAAATATTAATGTGGCTTTTTTTTAAACCAATACAAAAAGTAAGGGAAAAGGTTGATATGGTAAAAATAAATAAATAAAAGGGCAATACTAAGTGAAAACAGGGAACAGCTTATAGAAAGTGTTATAGGGAATTATGTATGGCAACTACTCTACCTCCTGCCTGTTCTTTAGACTGCTAGTGGTTGTCACCACAATGATGCTGCAATCCCCCCACAACCTACATAGGTTCCTCCCTTCCACTGAAAGACTAGTTTAAATTTTCAGCTAAAAGTGACAGGTCATTAAAAGATAGATTGAGGTATTACAACTCTACAATGCTGCCAATGCTACAATAAAGTGTCTAGGTTTAAATGTACAGCATGCTCAGTAAAGCATCCTACCCTTATCTGCTATACTGCAAACCACTCGGTATTAAAAATATCTGAAATCTGGACCAATAATAGAAGCTGTGTATATATGTGAGGCACTTTGTTCTCTATTATATTTCAAACACACCATCATAATTGCATTTGATGCTTAAGGTTTGTTCCCCACAACTGATCTGAAGCAGCATGCTTTAAGCTTTCAAATAGGTCCTCAAACTGTACAACATTAATATGAGAAAAGACAAGACAAGAGAGCAAGATGAGAAAAAGAAAACAAAAAAAAAACAAACAAACATGGAGTAGGTGTTGGGAAGGGTGGGGGGACCCAAAGAAGATAAAGAGAAGCCAGGAAAAATGACTACAGCATATTTTGTTCAGCTTCACTGAAGTAGCATTTCCCTATCACTAGTTAAGA